CCATTCTTGGGGTGAGGAGACTTTTGTTCCACACAGCACATGGGACACTCTTGTATTTTCTCGAGATACCACGCAGATGACAAGGAATCTGCCACTTGTTTGTAGTAAAAAGCCTACACAGGAAGCTAGCTTGGTTGCTCGTTGTAGGTCTTGGCTGTTCAAATCCAGCGAGTGCTTTTATATCCTCCTCTAACCCAAACGCCAACCTCTCCGTCTCTCAACTCCTCCAGTTTGAGTGGTATGTTACAGACATCAAAACACGTATCAGTACATTCACGACAGCACTTCCCCCTTTGCGGCTACCGTTTCGGTCACGAGAACCCCACCGCTCGCAGCGCACGCATCTTGACGCCCTCCCACGTGTTCAGCTTGGGCCGCACATCCAGATAAAAGTTGAGCTTGCCCTTGCCTGCGGCGTCGTTGTTCCGCCCGGCATAAAAGTCAATGATGTACTCGACGCGGGTCCCGCACCGGTCCACGACCCAGTCGTGCCGGTCAAAGGGCGCCGTGTACCCGAGCAGCGTGTTGATGCGCGCCTTGGGGCTCATGGTCGCGCTGCCCAGCCCCGCGAAGCTGTGCAGCCGCGGCCCGCCGCAGCCGCCCTTGACGACGGGCTCGACGTAGGGCGCCTCCCACTTGAGGATCTCGGCCCAGGCGCGCTCGTTGACGGCGTTGTGGATGGGCACCACCGTCTTCATGTCCTCGGCGACGGCCTCGTGGCCCTTGCGCTTCATGGCCTCGAAGAACTGCTTCTCGGAGGGGTAGACCCAGTGGCCCGTCTTGGAGGCGCCCGTCTCTTGCTCGTTGTTGTCGGGGCATGCGGCCGGGCCCGGGTCGGAGGGGCGGGGAATGGTGGAGATGACGCGCGACTCGTCGAGTTGCGATCGGGCGCGCGGTGGTGTGGGTGTAGCAGCGTTGCTGGGTTCCGGGGATTGCGGCTGTTGGGAGAAGGAGGGGAGTCGGAGCCATGACGACCACGACGATGCGGACTGCTGTTGTTGCTGCGGCTGTTGCTGCTGCTGGAGCTGTGGCGGAACGGTGTTTGGTGTCTGCGGGTGCGGTGCTGTTGTCGTTGCTGGTTCCTGTCCAGCGCGTGCCTGCTGTGCCTGCTCGAGCCACAGCTGGCGAGTCTTGTGGTCGACTGGGCACTTTGCCTCGTCCCCAGCCTGGACGGCGTCGGATCCGAATCCCTTCATGTTTGCTTTCCCCGTTACTCCCGACTCGCCCGTGTTGTTTCCCTGCGCTGTCGCTTCCTTGCCACTGACTAGAACTGTATCGAGCAGGTCAGTGTGCATTATGCGCACATGTTACTGTGGATCCCCTGCTTTGGTCTTGGTGCTCGCATGGACTGACGAGAGCTGAACATTTGCGATTTCGTGATGGAGCGAATGCAATCGCTAACCACGGACCCAAATTTATGGCGCCAGCTGAAACGGCCCGATTCTGCGGCCCACAGCCAATTGGCCACCTGCCAGACCACCAACAGCTTTCCACTGCCAAAGGACCACAACAACGACTTGAAACAACTTGACGAAAGCAGTTTGATTGCCCAATGTCGACGTGGAAGCTGCTCCTTGCGACAATTGATGGTATGTGGGAAGGACGGTTGACGGGACTCTAGAACGAGATCGGATACGTCCCGCGGCACGTCGGGGTGTTGCTCTCTTCCTCAACGTGCCGCATCTCTGAACCTTCCGTTGTCTTGCTGTTTGACAGCATGTTATTGTCAGTCAGGACGACCGAGTTTGTGGTGAGCCACTCTCTATGTGACTCGAGCTGGATAGCCGTGTCTCGGATCTTCTCTGTGGTGTGATCGCATGACACTGCTTCATCAAGTCGGCATCACACCAATGTAGAACCTGATGTGCCAGTCCAAACTTGCTTGCGGCAGGTCAGACTCACCAGCAGATACCTGCCACAGACATAAGGTAACTATACCTCGTAACTGCAATGGCAGTCGGGAGGCTGCTGCTGGGCTGATGGGCAGACCTCGTGCTGCCACACCAGAAACGAAGTGAGTCCATGGTGATTAGTGGGCAGGCAGATACAACAAGAGGCCGAATCCAGTCTCTAATTCCTGCGCTCGTGTACAAATCGACTCGCGTGTGCAACTGCTCAGTCACATGTCGCCGCAATGGAATGGGTGCATGCAGCCTGCTCAGGCAGACCATCCGGCCTCGGCGCCTCCGACATATCTTGGCTCCTGCCCCATGCCAAGGCGTCGCAACCATCAGGCCATGCCATCCTCACGCGCAGTAACGTGATGGCGACGCCTGCCGGAGTCCTTGGCAGTTAAGACCACCCGCTGTGAACGCCATCTGGACTTCGTCTCCGTTGCCGGGATCAAAGTGATGCACTGGCCCTTTTCCGCTCGAGACAGTCCACAGAAGGGACAAGGTGGTGAGGAACAGTGGATAACTCAACTAAACAGCGGAGCGGGCCATCTCGTAGCTGACGGCACGGAGCGAGCCCGGTTGACACCCACGTCGTCCTCGGCCTCGATCATCAACGACTTGTCCGCCCGGGCCGAGGTTGGCCCCTGCCGCGCCCTGGTTCGCCTTGATCTTGGAAACATGTTTCGCCTGTGCTGCGAGTCTGCAGGGCTGGTCCGGCAGCGGGAGCTAGCATACTGATGTGGGGAAACGCTATGGTTGCACAAACCCGGTCGATGCCCAACTTGTCCATCCGCTCTCGTCAGAATCACCTCATGCCGGCCGGACATTGCACCAAAGTGGCAGCGCGGGGAAGGTGAATGCCACCTTGGTAGTCAACGCGATGACAGGGCGGGGGATAGGAGAGATAAGGGTGGATACCCGACCAGGACCCCCTGCATCCATTGCTCTCCTCGGAGTCGGGGTCGAGGGTTGAAATCGCATCGAATGCCTGAATCCCATCATGGAGATATCTATAAGGGCAGATTCGCGAGCTCGATCCTTGTCCATTGTTCGATGACGGCCACAATCGACCGACGGTTGAGTCGTTGTTCGTGATGTGCATCGTCAGTGCGCCCGCGGGAAGAAACGGGACGGGAGTCGGGTGGGGGAAGGAAGGCGCCAGAGTGGGATGGCGTCCAGCAATGGCGTGGTTTCGCATGCGAGCACTCCGGCTGTCGGGCCAAGGAACCCCAATGCCCAGCGGGGCCCGCGTCGCCTGATTGGCCGGCCTGCCTGGATGGCGCGTGGTGGTTTACCCTCTCCAGCAAATTCGGGAGCTCGTGAAAACGAAACCGCCCCCCAGGCCCTCGTCCACCATCCTGGCTTCTCTTTTTGAACCAGCAACCTGCTCCAGCGCCCAATTCTCCTCCCTCGACCTGTCCTGTATCTCGCTCTCGTCAATTGCCACCAGCCTGTTTATCACGCTCCAAGACCAACACTACTAGGACAGCCATCGTCGCGAGGAGAAAAATTTACTGAGCACTGAAAACCTGCCGTGTTTGCCGAAACTGCCGCGCGCCGATTCCGACCTTCCTTTGCAACCGACAGCTCCCACAGCACCAACCACACTCAACCCACACCCAAACCGCAATCATGTTCACCACCAAGGTTCTTCGCCAGGCTGCTGCGCACGCCGAGCGCACCCCTTCCATCCGCTTCCTCGGCAAGCGCACAATTCCTGGTATGTCCAAGCTCCCCACAGCTGCCAGGTCTTTTGGTGCGCTGGGCACATGCTGACGCGAACATGTTGGCAGCCTCCGTCGACCACTCTCCTCAGCCCCATCCCGCCTCGCCGACCCACTCTCTCCCCGCCTCGTTCACCAGCGGTTCTTCCCACTCGACTTTCAGCGCCTACCGCGACCACGCCCAGCAGTTTGGCCCGCTGCGCAAGACGATCAAGGCCGACTCCGGAATCGGCGGAAACGCCGGCTCCCAGCTTGGTCCTGTCGCCCCGCCCAAGGGCGTCTTCTTCGACCGCAATGACCTGCCCTCCCGCTTCCACCGCCAGCCTCTCACTGCCGCTGAGATTGAGGCCATCGAGACTGGCGGCGCTGCGTTGTACGCGTGAGCTCGAAGTGTGTCTTTATTTAACAACGTGACGTTTGTTCTCTTCAACAAGCCCATTGGCGGATTGGGTATCACCACAGCGGAATCTCCTTGGCGGTATAGGGGTTTCGGGATTTCCGGACGGGCGCCAACATCTCCCATACCAGTGCTTCTGCGGTTACTTGGGCCGGCGTTGTGTACGACAGTAGCAGCGTTGCGATGACGCTCAAAATGGACGACAGGCACGCAGGGCGCGGAGCACGGGAGTGTCGGAAGACAGACTCCGCCAACTCTAGCAAGCGTGGCCTTTCCTTTTGTTGTATACGGGATTGGGTTGGCTCCGGCTTTTGATGACAGGTCGGGGCTTGCATGTACTGGAGGAATGGGTGAGGAGGGGTGCATTTCATGGCGTATACCCGGGGCCTGGGCGCCGAATATCGGCAGCAAGTGTCTGGTCTCACAGTATAGATAGGGATCACAATATTGAAACATATATTCACCCTATTCCGCAACCCTTGCTTCGCGCTCTCTGTTCTCTTTTCTTGTACTTGGGTGACGACATTCGCTCACCGAGAAGCAGCATCCCATCGCGAGCAGTATATTCGCTCAGGGATATCCCGAGTGGGCTTGAGGCTCTCTCAGGCCAGTGTGTTCATTTTACTTTGGACTCCAATTCGCTGTGTGTCAGGTGCAAAGGCAGAAGGAAGACCACGAAAAAGAACAGGAGGAAGAACAGGAGGAAGAACAGGAGGAAGAACAGGAGGAAGAACAGGAGGAAGAACAGGAGGAAGAACAGGAGGAAGAACAGGAGGAAGAACAGGACGAGGAAAACAGAAGGGGGAACAAGGGATAGAACAGGAGAAAGGAGGGGAGGGAGAATAGAAGATAGAACAGGAGGATGAGCAGGAGAAATAAGTACCTAGAGAACAGACAAGAAACTACCCCGAATATATAGCTCAAATGGGGCCCTCCCCTACGTACTTGAGCAAGACGTCCTGCCGCTGCAAACATGAGAACCCAGCCCGATTAGCTCAGCTGGTTAGAGCGTCGTACTAATATAACCACAAGTTATCTTGAGTCATGCGAAGGTCAACAGTTCAATCCTGTTATTGGGCATTCTCTCTCTCACTTTTGCTGGTCTTGTCTCGACCCAGTCCCTTTTGTTTTCGTGAAGCAACGACCAAGATCTGCCAGTTCCCATCTGCCGGCTCAGAAAGCACCATTCTTTGTGTTTAGACATCTCTTTCACCACTCCCGTATTTCTTTACTCTGTTGATACACTCACACAGACGGATGGAGGTGCTACCCCTGACATGACTCGGGTGGTGCGGAGCGGACCCTCACTCTTCTTAACACATGCCATCCCTTGTCTGCATTTTTTCACACGACCAGCCCCAAATCCCAATCACATATACCTCATTGCCCACTCTCGAATCCAACACCACAGGCATTTGCCTGCGCCGGCTAGGCCTTCGCCCGGCTAGCTCAATCGGTAGAGCGTGAGACTCTTAAGGATCCCCTTCCAGTCTCCTTCATCTCAAGGTTGTGGGTTCGACCCCCACGTCGGGCTCAATTCCCGTCGTCGATCCGGCGCTTGCTTTTTTGTTTCTTGGTGTTCCAACAAGCAACGGAAGTGGAAGTCAAAAGTCAGAAGGTGAACCGGAAGGACCTGCTGTGTGCCACACTCCTCGCCACTCTACTCACAACATGGAGAATGAAAAGCCTGAGCCAGGCTCGTTGAATCGTTGACGTATGTAAACTACGAGTGGAGTGCTAAACTACAGGACTCTTGCACCAATCGTTGACTTCCAGTCTCATGTGCAAACACCTTCCTGGGCCGAACTAAGTAAGGTAATTGAGAGTAAAAGCCCTTTACCTTCCAATATGGTCCTGGAGTCTCACCTCGCAACCAGCCCATTCACAGAAGGCAATGCCGTTGAGCCTCCTTCCATTTCAAGATTAGCGGTCGATGTCGGCAGATGGAGATGGGAGTGTCACGGTAGATTACAGACGGGACATGCTCCAATCCCCGCACTTGACCAACATGCCTTGTAGTATACGGAAGTGATCACCTGCATCAGTGGTCTCATGCAACGTTGAACATAGCCGAGACAAGAATGCGCTCCCCGCCCGTGTGAGACGCGAGAGAGTTGGCCTGGCAGGGCAACATAACCCTTCAATCCAAAAACGTGGCTTGGGTTTTTCTCAGTGTCGAAGGGATTCTGACACGTTCTGAACTCAACTCTCTAAACTTCGTTAACAATCAGCTGCTATGGCCGGTAAGGTTGAGACTAGTGAGGATGCCGAGGTTACCCCTGAGTCCCCAAACCAAGACCCAGAGAAGCCCCAGTACCGGCCCACGGGACATGAACGTATCGGAGACCAGATTCCGCACCGGCTGCTGGAGGAACTTGCGCCGAATGGGGAGGGCGAGTACCTCCTCGACAAGATAAACAACATGACTGAGGAGGAGGCGGTGGCCATCATCCAGGAGTCTTACAAGTTCCACGCCGACGACTGGAACTTCCCAACCGAAATGCGCGAGCGGATGCGGCGTCTGCTAGAGGGCCCCAAACAGTATGGCGAAATGTACGACCGTGACTTGAGGGTTGACGCCGTTACCCTTCGCTTCTCTTCCCCCTACCCCGGAGTCCGCGCTGCCGCCGATATTCTCGACACCTCGAGTGTGCCAATCGAGACCATACGGGCCTATTTTCTGGGAATCTCGTGGGCTGTCATTGGGACATTCGTGGCGACCTTCTTCAACAGCAGATTCCCTGCCATCGGTGAGAGAGAGCCTCCAAACAGTTGGCAGAAAACAGCAGATGCTCACAGACCTCTAGGTCTCAGCGGCTCGGTCATCCAGATCTTGTTGTTCCCCTGCGCCAAATTTCTCGAATGGGGTTTTCCAGACTGGGGTATCACGCTGTTTGGCGTCCGCCATTCTCTCAATCCGGGCCCCTGGACGTTTAAGGAGCAGATGTTTGCTACGATCACATACAACATATCGATCTACACCACAAACTCATACGGAATGGTAAATCTGCACTCTTTATCTCTTTTAACTGGAACCGAGACTAACCAGCAACAGATCCTGGTCCAGAAAATGGATGTGTACTATGGTCTAACCTTCGTCTCCTTCGGCTATCAACTGATGTTGACGCTCTTTGTCCAGCTGATGGGCATGGGATTTGCAGGCTACCTGCGGCGGTTTAGTGTCTACCCGGTGAAAGCGGCTTGGTTCACCACACTTCCTGTCATTATGATGAATCGGGCTCTAACTCGTCCAGAGCCACGGGAGAACATCAACGGTTGGACCATCTCACGGTACAGGTTCTTCTACATCTGCACCATCTCAATGGCCATCTACTACTGGCTTCCCGGGTATCTGTTTAACGCGCTGTCGACATTCAACTGGATGACATGGATCGCCCCTGAGAATCTGACTCTGGCAATCCTCACCGGCTCGTCCCTTGGACTGGGCCTATTCAACCCCATCACCACCTTCGACTGGAACATCGCCACGAGCTCATACGCCGCTCTTTCCCAGCCCTTCTTCAGTACATGTACCATGTGGTTTGGTACTCTCCTCAGCGCCCCGATCATTCTCGCCATTTACTACACCAACACGAACTTCACAGCGTATCTGCCCATCAATTCCAGTTCCGCTTTTGCCAACGACGGCAAGCCATACCGTGTGCAGAATGTCGTGGTCAACAACAAGCTCGACGAGGCAAAATACCAGTCCTACTCTCCGCCTTTCTACTCGGCTGGCTACATCCTCACTGTGGGCGCCAACTTTGCCTTCTACCCCGTCTATTTTCTGTACATCATGATCAACCAATGGACGACGGTCGGACGGGCATACGTCGACTTCTACAAGGGCCTGAGGTACGGCAAGGGCAACTACGAAGACGCCATGGACGTGCACAGCAGGCTGATGGCGCAGTATCCAGAGGTGCCCGACTGGTGGTTCCTGCTGATCCTCGTGCTCGCCATCGTGGTAGCTTGCGTGTTTCTGTCCATCTACCCGCTCGACACGCCCGTGTGGCTCGTCTTTCTGATCATCGCTGTCAACCTGGTCTTTGCCGTGCCGCTGTCGTTGCTGTCGGCCACCACGGGGACGAACCTCAGTCTGGGCTCGCTCATCCAGGTGCTGACGGGGTATCTGCTGCCCGGGAACCCCAACGCTTTTCTCTTTGCGCAGACCCTCGGATCGTGGGCGCTGGCGGGGTATGGCGACAATTATGTGCAGGACCAGAAGATGGCGCACTATGTCAAGATTGCGCCGCGGGCCGTGTTTCGGAGCCAGATTGGGACGATCATCATTACCTGCTTTGTGGCCGTTGCGACCCAGAACTTCATCATGGAGAACGTCAAGGGGCTGTGCACCCCTGATCAGCCGAGCCGGTTCACCTGCGCCAACGATGGCGCGCCGCTGTACGCTAGCTCGCTGATGTGGGGGCTGCTCGGGTCGGAGCGCATGTTTGGCGCCATGTATCCGCTGTTCAAGTGGTGCTTCTTGATCGGGACGGGCATCGCGGTGGTCTTTCTCGTGGGTCAGGGGTTGGGGCCGAAGTACCTGCCAGGTGTGAAGGAGAAGCTCAGAGTGAAGTTGAGGCCGAGGACATTTGCAGTGCTGGACAAGACACTGTTTCCGTTCGTTGCGTCGCTGTTGTGGCTGAATCCGGTCCTGGTAATTCAGGGGGTGCAGCACTGGGCTCCGTCGAACCTGGCTTACAAGACGCCGGGGTTCATCCTGTCTTTTATTTTCATGTACCTGCTGCCCAAGTATCGTCTGGCTTGGTGGGAAAAGTACAATTATGTACTCTCGGCGGCGTTGACGGCTGGCGTGGCGATCAGCGCGCTCATCATGTTCTTTGCGGTTGGGTACAGCCCGATCAAGCTGGAGTGGTGGGGGAACAAGGTCAGCTCGGCGGGTATGGATGGGAGGAGCGTCGCCATTTTAGCCATTCCGGAGAGGGGATATTTTGGACCTGAGAAGGGGAGTTTCCCCTAATCATGTCGCTCGACAAACATGGCCAGCAAGCCAGCTGGCATGACATCAACCCACCAACCGAAGGGCGGAACAGGGGACTGTCCTGAGAAGCTGAGACACCGGCTCACAACCGAAGGAATCTCATTACGCTACCGGATCCCACAAGACTGCAGGTTGTTGCTGGTGTGACGCGGGGAGCGACAGGTCCGTGGGAGGCGCCATGGCCATGGAGAGCAACCATGACCTCCACGGCAATCATTAGCGGTGTGCCTGCGGAGCCTGCAGGCCTGCAGAATCCTGGGCTCGATCTCCCACAAGACTGCCACCAAGGACCGGATCCGTGATGGGCACGGCCGGGTTGGTTCATCTCAAGGGGTGCAATCTTCGCGAGGCAACATGCCACACACCTTTTCACGGCCAGGGTTCCATTGCAAAAGCTTGATCCCTCGTGGTGAGACGGGGATGACAAGCGGGGGATAAGTCGGGCACCCCCCATTCCGATCACCCCACTTTCCGATCACTTGGCAATCTTGGCCCCTAAACCACCCCTTTTTTCCCACCCCTATATACTCTAGCTAGTTTAACTAACTACAATACATGAAGCATCTGAATCTGAACTTTCTGACCCGCTCTCTTCAGCTATAGAGTTGTCTATACGGCCTGCTTCAATCTGGGCTTTGTGGACCTGTTCAATTGAAGCGAACTGGGTGTTGGGATCTGGGACTACCTTCTTCCTTTTGGTCTTAACTGTGGCCTCTAATTTAGCTTTGAGGACCTCGTTTTCTTGTTGCAACCGAGCCAATTCGAAGTCCTTCTCGTCAAAAGCCTTCTCAACCTTCCTAAATAATAGCCGTCGTGTTGAGAGATCCTGCCGTCGGATGGCCAGGTGTTGAGGTGGTCCCGGAGGACTGTCTTCTTCCGTGGGGTTGTAAATTCGACTTCTTTGGCCTCAACAACTAGCTGAGGAGGTTGCTGGGATATTGGAGTCTGTAGTGGATGTCGTTGTTTATCAAGGTTGAGCCTCTGGTTCGAATTCTCCAGCAAAAGACGGCTCATAAGAGGTTTGGCGATATTGACTGGCCACAACCCGCCTGCCCTCCACCCAGACTTGATGTTGTGAGCTGTGATGGCTTGTTTCCGAGCCTGGAGGATGCATTTTAACATCAACTGCTTGCCAACGACTGTCGATTCCGACCAGCTATTCATCTGGTTGAGGAGCTTGCGGTAGGTGTGTTTTAGGGAGAGAACACAGATAAATCTAACGGCTGGAGAACGTGGGAGGTATGAGCTGGTAAAAAGAGTAACTGGATATTGTTGTCGAAGCAATGCCACATAAACTCGGTAGTTGTATGGCTGTCGTGGCCGTCCAAGATCAAGAGTCGTCTTTGGGAGGGGTCTTGCGGCCGGGTCCGAGGGATAAACACCCGTTGAAGCCATTCCAACGCCACCACCCTATTTATCCAACCTTTTTCAGTTGCAGTGAATAACCAGTCCTCCAATCCATCCTTTTCCACCGGGAACCATTGTTGTTGAACACTCTTGCCCCTGAAAATGACAGCTGGTGGGAGTGC